CCATCTCATTGCAACTACCAGATGCACTATGGATCCCTTAGTGGGAAAATTGTCCGGAAAATCTTAAATCTATTGCACTTTTATTTAGAGGTAAGCATGATTCCACGGCAAAACTTGATCGATGGAAATTTGTAGATTCTAGGTTTCAAGGTATGTAGGGTAGGTTCCATGTTTTAAAATTGGGAAACCTATTTCGACGGGTTAGTTCCTGGTTCTACGTAAAACTTGAAACTTGAAACAAGTTTTTTTTGTTTTTTCTTGATTTATGTCTTTGCATAATCATGCGTTCTTTCATGGCGTTAGATGATGGGTGTATAATCTGGAACGACTAGCCTGAGCTTTTATTTTATGATTTGTTAATATTTCATATTTTTCGTGTGTTCAAATATAAGTTGTGATCAGTGAATCGTAACAAGTGGTGGTCATTAATTGTGACTATTCAGTGCAATTATTTAATTAATAATACATATAAAATCTGGGTAGACTTGGAACCTGTGACAGAGTAGGTTTTAGGTTCCAAGTGGAACCTGTATGGATCCTAGAACCGCTCACCCCTACTTTTACTGATTCATTTTTAAACTTTTCAATTTTACCAATCGAGTCATCAACCTTTTCATATTTTGCCAATTGAGTCCATCCGTCCAATTTTGGCTAGAATGCGCTGACGTGGACGCCAGTGATTCGACGTGGTACAACCGGCGCTGACGTAGATAATTTTTTATAATATATATATATTTCTTTTTTTATGTAAATTTTTGTGATTTTTTCTTTCTTTCTTCTTCCTTTGCCAGTGACCAGGCGGGCTAGTCTTGCCCGCCACAAGCAGGCCGGCGAGGGTTGGCCTCGAGCTAGACATACCAGAAGGTTGTATGCTTGATGCTTCTCGTGTGCGTCCTAATCTTGGCCCTCTGGCTCAACATGAGTCAATCTTTGCCCGGCTCAGCCAAGCCCCATGCCAGGGCGACCTCCTTAGATTTGGTGAGGGGAGCCCTCATCGGTGCTCCCATAGGCAAAGCCACTTTACCCAGCCACCGGCAAAAGGAAGAAGAAAGGAAAAATAAAAATGACAGAGAAATTATAAAAAAAATCAATAAAATATTAAAATATTATTAAAAATTGTCTATGTTAGCGCTGGCTGTGACACGTAGGACAACCGTTATCCACGTCGCCAAGAAAGATAAATAAATACCAAATCAACACCTAATTAACTTAGTTATTCAACCAAAAAAAAACTTAGTTACATTTTCCGACAAAAAAAAACTTAGTTACATCTCGTAACAATAAACAAGACTTTATTTTGTTATTTTTATCATAGATTTTGCTTCTCTAAGGAATATCAGATAAATAAGCATGTGTTTCAACAACTAGAAATATTATTCATCACTGGCATTCTAGCGATATCTTTTTTTAAAACTTCGAATGGTTTATAGTAAAATGGATAAAAAAAAAATTCACAAAATTTGAAGGATGTTTCCGGAGGGCGAATCGGATTCCTAATTTTGATTACGGGATCTTTTGAATCGATTCTTTTGTTTAATTTAATATAACTATTCCAATACATAGTTTACCAAGAGCAACGAATTTAAAGTATAAGTTTGGCATCTGGATGACACTTCAATATATGCTATATTCTTTACCAGTTTCTGCGTATTCTTTCGTGTAAACTTCTCCTTTTTGCATAAACTCTCTCTCTCTCTCTCCAATGCGACTGATTCTTGCGTCACATCAATATCAATCCAACCTTTTTCTGTTTCCCTTCGCTTCCCCTCTTCCCTCTTGGCTCACGGCCGCTTTCCTCGATGCTTCAGCAGCAGGAAAGATCAGACCTTTTCACAGATTCCAGACGTCCGCCCGTCACCCAGTTGCTATCTCCCTCTCCCCATCCGTTGCACAGCGCCACCCTCGTGAAAACCCGCCTTCCAGATGCTCATCCGCCATCGCACAGCAATGCCACCGGGGCGGGGCCTTAAAGGGTGCGGAAGAGAGCGGCAGGCGGTGTCGAAGGTGGTGCTGTGGTGGTTGTAAGAGACAAGACGGCGGCACTAGTCATTGGCGACGGAAGGAGCTGCATGAATGTGCTCCACGTGTATGCTTGCTTTGCCTCCAAGAATAGCATCCTGTGGACTATATGTCACGATAGCCAGTATGCCGTGCATTTACGATTCCAGCCTATTCTTTTCGTGATAAACTTCTCCTTTTTGCATAAACACTTCTCTCTCCAATGCGACTGATTCTTGCGTCACATCAATATCAATCCAACCTTTTTCTGTTTCCCCTTCGCTTCCTCTCTTCGCTCACGGCCGCTTTCCTCGATGCTTCAGCAGCAGGAAAGATGAGACCTTTCGCAGATCTAGACGTCCGCCGATCGCCCAGTTGCTATCTCCCCTCCCCATCCGTTGCGCAGCGCCACCGTCGTGAAAACCCGCCTTCCAGATGCTCATCCGCCATCGCACAGCAATGAACCACCGGGGCGGGCGGGCCTAAAGGGTGCGGAAGAGACAGCGGCAGGCGGTGTCGAAGGTGGTGCTGTGGTGGTAGTAGACGAGACGGCGGCACTAGTCATTGGCGACAGAGGGAATGAATTGGCGGAAACACGAGCGTATGCTTTGCTTTGCCTCCAAGAATAATATTCTGCGTGGTTATAGTCACACTCCAAATAGATGAAGGACACTTACATACCATCCTTTCACCCGATGGATGCAATAAATCACAACCAAAGTTAACTACTATAGCTTATTTAACCCAATTCCAGCAAATAATAAACGTCAAGGTCAAATTACGTTATATATTACCAAACCAAAGCTTATTTAACTGGCCAATCTCCAACAAAAACACACGCCAAAGGTCAAATTATATTATATACTACTTTAACGTAACATTTTCACAATGAAATGCTCATTTCGATCAATAATATCACGCGTAAACCAATGATCCATTTCATTGACCAATCTCATGCTCAGAAATCTAGCAATGATCATGGATAACGCCTCGTGAAAGGGCGACCAAGATTCTCTCTTGGCAAGGTCTTCACCTACTATAAGCCGGTGGCTTGGCCCATAAGGATATCATAAACTAATATGCACATACCCACAATCCCTTATTGGACACTGAGTGTCAAATACTTATCCACGACAATATCATCCACAGTCCACAAAACCAAATCTAGAAATAATTTCATAAACCATTTCATAAATAACAATATGGTTCTAAAACTATTTCATAAATCACAATACGTTTCCCAAACTAATCACATAACCTTTAGTAACTTAGTTTATCCGATAGAAATGCTTTTTCGCAAAGCATTTCTCATATCATTTCATAAACATAATTCATAAATCGATACGTATAATCTTTAATAACATCTTCTATAAAACCTTTCTCAAATCATCTTAAAACTCGTTCCATAAACCAATTCGCAACATAATACACATATATCCGTTAACAATATTTTTCTTAAAGCCATTTTCAAATCGTTCTCAAATATTAAAATGTAGTAATTGCCCAATCCAGGATTTTATACAACAAACATGTTTTAGCAACTCGTACGATACTCAAATCCTTATCACTTTCAAAGCATAAATTTATAAACTCAAAGAAGATATAGCACCACTCACTTGGAAATGCCTACGATTAAACGACAAAGATTACTCGATCCGTCGAACTCGCAATCCTAACAAATAAGCGAGAAACAACATTAAAATCGAGTAAAACTCTACCTCAACTACAATTTAGTTAAACTAAGCTTAATCGCTAACAAATGAATCAAAGGCGCCCACAAATCGCTCATCCAAAACGATTATTCAAAACCATCCGCAACGCAGAACTTGAACGCGAAATTTGATCGCGCCATAACTCTCTCCATCAAACCCTGTTCCAAGCAAGCTTTCAGTTAAAATGAAGATCTTTCGAAGTACTAGAAGACCCACCACTTGACCATCCCAAAATCAAGCCGAAAACCGATGAAAATTGGCCTAAAAGCCACTGATCGCACATTGTTCACCACGCACGCTCAACTTCAAAAATTCGTTTAGGGCAAATGATAAGTCCGAATCGAGTTCCGTAAAATCCCACAGTTCCATGACATCCTAAACTTTTAAATTTAGGGTTAACTACCAATTCTATATATATATACATACTCCGAACTTTTTTTTTTAACGACTCAAAAAATCGGACTTACCCGCAGCTAAAAAACCCCATTTTCACTAGACTCCGAAATTATACTTTAATTTTGAAAAATACTCCGATTGCATAAACGAGAGTCATCAGTACGTTGCGATACGAATTTGGAATAGGCTTGCCAAGGTCTACGGAACGTTTACGCACGAGCTTTTTTCTTTCTCTTTCCTTTCTCTCTCCTTCTTTTTTTTCTTCTTTTCCTCTCTTTCCTTTCTGTTTCTCGGTCGCCACTTTTAATCTGAAGATGTCCACTGTTTGCTTCTTTGTTGACTTTTCAACCCCTCTTCTTTTTTTCCCTAAAAAGTCCAAACATTACGCTATAAACAGAACAACCATGTCAGAATCAAATCTCAAAAGACAATGTGTTAAATATGGTTTGAATTCTTGAAGATGATGCAGATGACAGTGGCCAAGATCAAATGGTGGGGCCATAGTTAGATTGTTACTCACTCCTCAGAAAGCCACGATTTTTTTTTTTGGTCAGAAAGCCACGATTGAGGGGACAACATTCGATAAATTACGTGGCGATTACTCTGCATTATTATTTTATTCATACCACTCGACTTCATGCTCACCGCACTACCCCCAATGCTGCACTAAGGACATTCCCTCGTAAAAAATAGCATAAAACAAGTAAAGTTGGATTGCATTGCAGAGGGAGAGGAAGCAATCATGCAGTAAACTAACAGATAAACACATATTTAAATCAAAAGCAGAGCTCTAAAGTAAATTCGCTGACTATTTCAACCTGCAAGAGCGAGTCCCCACCAAGAAGAGAGCGTGTGCAGACGTTCTCACGATACATATAGACAAATCGCATTAAACCAGGTTGACAACGCCATCAATGGTTGTGGTTCTTGACCACTGTCTTCATTTTCTTCATCATCATGATATCAGCATCGTCTTCTTCTTGTTCTTCTTCTATCTCATGGTCTTTTTTGGTTTTTCCCTTTTGCTGGCCCATAAAAACTAAAATAGTAGTCTGAGGACCCCCTCCATCTGCAAAGAATTCAACCCTGCAATTATTGTGGGGAAGAAAAAAAAAAGAAGTGAACTTCTGGGTGTTCTTCTCTGTTCTCACATGCTCGCGGAAGCCCAAGTCAGAAGGTGGCTCGCTTTCTCCTGCTTCAAGTATTCCCTTCCTAATTATAAAGAAACAGAAAGTGTCCAGCGCAGAGCCAGGTGAGTACTCTTTCTTGTGATTAACAAGCTTTCTTTCTTTTTTTGGCTGCTCTCTCGTGAGTGTTGCTTTTTGTTTGGTATATTTGCATTAGAAAAAAAGTTTGATTTCCCCTTTTCGGACATGAAAGTCAGGGCTCCTTGAGACTAAATGCTTCTCCCTTGCTTTTCTGGAAAATGGAGGGTTTTCGTTTCTCATTGCACTCTCTCAGATTTCAGTTAAGTCAGTGTTCTTTTGGCACTCTCTCAGATGGGTATTTATGGGTTTTTCACTTTGTACGTAATTGATAGATTGGAAGAAGTAAAGGACATACTGGCCCTCTTTTGCTGTGCCTGTTGCAAAAGTCAAAAAACAATATGCTTATTGTTCTCTTTGTCTCTCGTAGGTTGTGTCTATCCTAGCTTGTATTGGTTCTCTCATCCTAGGTCTAAGGGAGGGAAATTTTTTTTAAAAATCAAGTTGGCAACTTGCCTTGATCAAGATTATATTCCTTCCCACTTTCGGTAGATTTACAAAATTATCGAAAGGCTGTTGATTCATGTTTTCATTGAAGTATTCCTCAGATGAGGTTACTATTTAATCCTAAACCCACTCATATTGATGGGTGCTTGTCTTAGGTTGTTGATCTAGCATCACAATGGATCTGGTTTGGCTTCTCTGCATTTTCGTCCTCTTTTTTGGAGAATTGTCACTAGGACAGTCCAAACCTGATGTAGATGCAGTGAATGTCGGAGCTATTTTCACCTTTTCTTCTATCAATGGAAAAGTCGCTCAAATCGCCATGAAGGCTGCGGAGAACGATGTTAATGCAGATCCAACTTTTCTTGGTGGACGCAGACTGTCTATATCCATGCATGATTCCAATTTCAGTGGATTTCTTGGCATCATCGGCGGTATACATTCTCCTCGAAGTTCTTATTTTCAGAATTGTTTTCATCGGTATAATCTCTTCCCTGTCAATATTAATCTGATGGTTATTTGATTGTTTACTGTCAATAACAGCTTTGCAGTTCATGGAGACGGACACAGTTGCAATAATAGGTCCACAGAATTCAGGAATGGCCCACATTCTCTCGCATCTTGCAAATGAACTACATGTTCCAATGCTGTCGTTCACTGCGCTGGACCCCATGCTTTCTCCCCTCCAGTACCCCTACTTCATTCAAACTGCACCCAGCGATCTGTTCCAGATGATCGCTGTTGCAGATATGATCAGCTATTACGGATGGCGAGAGGTGGTTACAATTTTCTCCGACGATGATCATAACAGAAATGGCGTCACTGTGTTAGGTGATCAACTTGCAGAGAGACGCTGCAAAATAATATATAAGGCAGCTCTTCCCCCAGATCCAACGGCAACTGAGAATGATGTTATAGATGAATTGAATAAGATAAAACTGATGGAATCCCGAGTATTCATATTGCATACATTCACAAAGACGGGTCTTTTGGTTTTTGATGTGGCCAAGAGGCTTGGCATGATGGACAGTGGGTATGTCTGGTTCGCAACTTCGTGGTTGTCTAGTGTTCTGGATTCTGATTCATCGCTTTCCTCAAAGGATGCCCACTCTATCCAGGGAGTTCTTGCACTTAGGCTTCACACACCTGACTCAAAGAGGAAAGCGGATTTTTCAGCGAGGTGGAAATCGTTGAGCAATGGTACTATTGGGTTGAACCCTTATGGTCTTTATGCCTATGATACGGTATGGATGATTGCTCGTGCAGTTAAAATGTTCCTGGATCAGGGAAACAACATCTCATTCTCTAATGACACGATATTAAAAAACTTTCGGGGAGGAACTCTGAATCTCGAGGCATTGAGCATTTTTGATGGAGGGAAGCAGTTGCTTAACAATGTCCTGCAGACAAATATGAATGGTCTGACCGGCCCGATCAAATTTAATCCAGACAGATCTCTAGTACATCCTTCTTATGACGTCATTAACGTACTTGAAAATGGGTATCGCCAGATAGGATATTGGTCCAACTACTCCGGGCTTTCCATTGTGCCTCCCGAAGAACTTTATGCCAAACCACCTAACCGTTCTAGTTCGAACCAACATTTGAACAGTGTAACTTGGCCTGGAGGCACCAGTACGAAGCCTCGCGGTTGGGTTTTTCCGAATAATGGGAAGCGACTAAGGATAGGAGTTCCAAGGAGAGTTAGTTACCGAGACTTTGTAGAGCAGGTCAATGGTACTGACATCGTCCAGGGCTATTGCATAGACGTGTTTCTTGCTGCCAGAAAATTGCTTCCTTATGCAGTTCCATACGAATTTGTCTTGTTTGGAGATGGTCTCAAAAATCCTAGCTACACCGAGCTCGTAAATATGATTGCAGCAGATGTGAGTTGGTTCTAAGGCAGAGGACTACATTTACCATTATAGAGAGTCTACCTTACGTCTGCTGATCACATTTTGTTCTGCAGGTTTTCGATGCTGCTGTGGGAGATATCGCGATTATCACAAATCGAACAAAGATTGCAGATTTTACTCAGCCTTACATTGAGTCGGGTCTAGTTGTTGTTGCCCCTGTTAGGAAGTTGAATTCAAGTCCTTGGGCCTTCTTGCGTCCATTCACTCCATTGATGTGGGCTGTCACAGGAGTTTTCTTCCTCATTGTAGGAGCAGTCGTGTGGATTCTTGAACACAGAATTAACGATGAGTTCCGGGGATCTCCCAGGAAACAGGTCATGACAATTCTTTGGTGAGCACTGGGTAAATGGAAATGCCATGGGCTGTTCTACTTTACCAGATGAAAACTGCTAGTAAATCTCTAGTTTTCATTCTCTTCTAGGGAGTTTGTACGCTTTGCCAGTATTTTAGGCTCTACTTTGAGGATTATACTACGTTGATCATTTATGGCCAAATCGTCATTCAATGGGTAGCCTCGTCAGCTTTGCATTAGTTCATATTAATGACTGCTCATGGTGCTCCCTGCAACTTCTGATCTGCACTCCTTTCTCTTCTTACAGGTTCAGCTTTTCTACTATGTTCTTTGCACACAGTAAGTCTCACTTTAATGCGTGATAATTTAACTGAAAAAAATGTTAAAGTGACAGCATATTGTGACTCTAAATGTGTTCAAATCTTCAGGAGAAAACACCATAAGCACACTTGGTCGCATAGTGCTGATCATCTGGCTTTTCGTGGTTTTGATAATTAACTCAAGTTATATAGCAAGTCTTACATCAATCCTGACCGCTCAACAGCTATCCTCACCGATCAGAGGAATAGATTCGTTAATAATCGGCAATTCCCCAATCGGCTTCCAAGTAGGGTCTTTTGCAGAGAACTATATGGTTGAGGAGCTGAGCATTCCAAAATCAAGACTTATTGCGCTTGGCTCACCAGAGGAATATGCTTCAGCCCTCGAGTCTGGAAGAGTAGTTGCTGTGGTTGACGAACAACCATACATAGACCTCTTCCTTTCAAATCACTGCCAGTTCTCAATCAGGGGCCAAGAGTTCACCAAAAGTGGGTGGGGCTTCGTGAGTATCTCGAGACCATATTCACCAGCTTTTAACATATAACGCGTTTAGAAGTTACAACTCTTAATCCGAAGAAGTTAGTCATCACTGATATACGATATGTTCTTCTATGAAAGAAAGGGAGGGAAATCTAACTTCTATATAACAGCATGTTTCCGATTCTATTCTCAGTTGTGCATCCTGTGCCGAAAAAGGGATGACAGATTGACACGGGACGACTGATCCTCAATAACTTATATATCCCTTGTTATGTTGTGATATATTCTCCAACACCGGTTTACTTTTTAATCATTCTTCGGCAGGCATTCCCTAGAGACTCCCCTCTAGCCATCGACATGTCCACTGCGTTGCTCGCTCTGTCAGAGAATGGTGAGCTCCAGAAGATCCATAAGCGGTGGCTGTCCAAAAAGGCGTGCGGTTCCCAAAACTCGGGATCGGACCAGCTTCATCTCCAAAGCTTCTGGGGCCTGTTCCTTATTTGCGGGGTTTTATGCGTTGTAGCTCTCCTCCTGTACCTCTTCTTCATCCTGCGCAAGTTCAAACGGCATTCTCATCAAGCACCCGAGCCATCCACTCATGGAAGCTCTCGTTCCGCGCGCCTTCAGAATTTTATGTCGTTCGTGGATATGAAGGAGGATAAGTCCCGGAGCAAGTTGAAGAGAAAGCGAAACAACCACCTTATAAATGGATACAGGGAATCCAAGTCAATCGATGGGTCTGATATACTGGAACCGGACGTCTCGGGGCAACGTTGAACAGGGGATTTACTGGCCTTACGAGTTTCTATAGCTAATAACAGCTTGGTTGCTTATTTTCAATCTATGATCTAGAAAGAACCGAGAATTCTCCGAGTGTTGAGTTTCACTTCATGCCCTGAAGAACAGTACCCGACAGCAGTCCTTACAGTAGGCGACCAGTTTGTTGTGCAGCATTTTAACCGAAGATATCGTTTTTCTTTTCTGTTCCGTTCCGAAACGCCATTCCATTGGATTGGGGATTCCCAGAAGGCGAGCAGACCCCCAAGCCAGTCGAACGGGCTTTACTTTAGAAGTCCACAGCCGCCATCGCTGCGGGAGTTAGGAGCAGCTAATGCCTGTGCTGCTGATGCAGAAGCAGAAGAAGAAGAAGAAGAAGAAGCTGTGCGCGCGCGCTATAGGCAGTGAGGGGGAAATGCTTTGTAAGTCTTTTCCTTTGCCGGAAACAATACAAAAGGGCCTGTTTTTAGAGAACACTGACTTGAAAGTTCATTGCAATTCGACAGTGGATGAATGCAAAACGTTGTTAGTTTGTGCGCATGTTCATTTTTGTGATTTTAATCAACGTTTTGCTCATAAAAGTAAGAAACTTTGTACAAGAAAAGATGAGCAAAGCGTGAAATATGACGTCATCCATGCTTATAAGGTTTGGTAGACAAGAAGAAGCACACAGACGCACTGCAGACTCTCTGCGCTCTTGCAACCCCACCAAAGGCGCCGCCGCCGCCGCCGACCGCCCCTTCCAGCGAAAAGCCTCAGCAGAACGACGTGGATGCCAGCGGTTCGACGTGGTATGACCAGCGCTCACGTAGACAATTTTTTATAATATATATTTCTTTTTTTATGTAAATTTTTGTGATTCTTTCTTTCTTTCTTTCTTTTCTTTTTTCTTTCTTCTTCCTTTTGCCAGTGACCGGGCAGGTTGGCCTTGCCCTCCACAGGCGAGGGTTGGCCTTGAGCCAGACATACCAGAAGACCGTATGCCTGATGCTTCTCGTGTGCATCCTAATCTTGGCCCTCTGGCTCAACATGAGTCAATCTTTGCCTGGCTCAGCCAAGCCCAATGCCAGGGCGGCCTCCTTAGAACTGGCGAGGGGAGCCCTCATCGGTGCTCCTCCAGGCAAAGCCACTCTGCCCAGCCATCGGCAAAAGGAAGAAGAAAGGAAAGAAAAAAAAATGAAAGAGAAATTATAAAAAAAATTCGATAAAATATTAAAATATTATTAAAAATTGTCCATGTCAACACCGGCCGTGCCACGTAGGACAACCGACATCCACGTCACCAAGAAAGACAGATAAATAAATACCAAATCAGCACCTAATTAACTTAGTTACATTTTCCGACAAAAAAAAACTTAGTTACATCTGGTAACAATAACCAAGACTTTATTTTGTTATTTTTATTATAGATGTTGCTTCTCTAAGGAATATCAGATAAATAAGTATGTGTTTCAAGAACTAAAAATATTATTCATCACCGGCATTTTAGTGATATCATTTTTTAAAACTTCGAATGGTCTATAGTAAAATGGATAAAAAAAAATTCACAAAATTTGAAGGATGTTTCCGGAGGGCGAATCGGATTCCTAATTTTGATTACGGGATCTTTTGAATCGATTCTTTTGTTTAATTTAATATAACTATTCCAATACATATTTTACCAAAAGCAACGAATTTAAAGTATAAGTTCGGAATCTGGATGACACTTCAACATATGCTATATTCTTTACTAGTTTCTGCGTATTCTTTCGTATAAACTTCTCCTTTTTGTATAAACTCTTTCTCTCTCTCTCTCTCCAATGCGATTGATTCTTGCGTCACATCAATATCAATCCAACCTTTTTCTGTTTCCCTTCGCTTCGTCTCTTCGCTCACGGCCGCTTTCCTCGATGCTCCAGCAGCAGGAAAGATCAGACCTTTTCGCAGATTCCAGACGTCCGCCCGTCACCCAGTTGCTATCTCCCTCTCCCCATCCGTTGCGCAGCGCCACCGTCGTGAAAACCCGCCTTCCAGATGCTCATCCGCCATCGCACAGCAATGCCACGGGGGCGGGGCCTTAAAGAGTGCGGAAGAGACAGCGGCAGGCGGTGTCGAAGGTGGTGCTGTGGTGGTAGTAAGAGACGGGACGGCGGCACTAGTCGTTGGCGACAGAGGGAGCTGCATGAATGTGCGCCACGCATGCATGCTATGGGCTATATGTCACACCCCAAAACCTATAGAAATGATACGGCGATCCTTCTATTTGATGAACGCAGCGTGAAACCACAATCAAAGAACTAACTTCCAAAAGATGAGCTCTCGCTCTAATGGCTACTAACCAAGGAACCTGAAAAAATTGGGAAAAGAGAAAGATGAGCAACCACAGCTCATTACGTAGTGCGTATCTTTTCTAAGTAGATCGAGCAATCACTATGTCAATTGTAAAACCAAACCAAAGCTTATTTAACCAAACTCCAGTAAATAATAAACGTCAAGGTCAAATTACCTTATATACTACTTTAACATAACATTTTTCAATAGAAATGCTCATTTCGATCAATAATATCAAAGCAAAAACCAATGGTCAATTCTATTAGCTAATCTCATCAAAAAACACACCCCAATAGTCCATTCCATTGGCCAATCTCATCGAGAAACACATGCCAATGGTCAATTTCATTGGCTAATCTCATCGAAAAATACACACCAATGATCCATTCCATTGGCCAATCTCATTCTTAGAAATCTAACTAGGAACACGGATAACGCCCCGTGAAAGGGCTACTAATATTCCTTCTTGGCAAGGTCTCCACCTACTATAAGCCGGTGGCTTGACCCATAAGAATATCTTAGACTAGTATGCACATACCCACAACTCCTCATTGAGTTCACAGAAATACTGAGTATCAAATACTTATCCATGATAATATCATCCACAATCTACAAAGCCAAATCTATAAATCATTTCATAAACCATTTCATAAATAACAATATGGTTCTAAAACCATTTCATAATTCATTTCATAAATCACAATACATTTTCCAAACTAATCACATAATCTTTCGTAACTCAATTTATCCAATAGAAATACTTTTTCCCAAAGCATTTCTCATATCATTTCATAAATATAAATTCACAAATCGATATGTATAATCTTTAATAACATCTTCTATAAAACTTTTCTCAAATCATCTTAAAACTCGTTCCATAAACCAATTCGCAACATAATACACATATATCCGTTGACAATATTTTTCTTAAAACCATTTTCAAATCGTTCTCAAATATTAAAATGTAGTAATTGCCCGATCCAGAATTTTATACAACAAACATGCTGTAGTAACTCGTACGATACTCAAATCATTATCGCTTTCAAAACATAAGTTTATAAACTCAAAGAAGAGATAGTACCACTCACTTGGGAATTCCTACGATTAAATGACAAAGATTACTCGATCCATCGAACTCGCAATCCTAAGAAATAAGCGAGAAACAACGTTAAAATCGAGTAAAACGCTACCTCAACTGCAACTCGGTTAAACTAAGCTTAACCGCTAACAAATGACTCAAAGGTGCCCACAAATCGCTCATCTAAAACGATTATCCAAAACCATCCGCAATGCGAAGCTTGATCGCGCCATAACTCTCTCTGCCAAATCCCGTTCCAAGTAAGCTTACAATTAAAATGAAGATCTTTCGAAGTACTAGAAGACCCACCACTTGGCCGTCCCAAAATCGAGCCAAAAACCGACGAAAATCGATCGCGCACTGTTCATCACGTGCGCTTAACTTCAAAAATTCGTTTAAGACAAATGGTAAATCCAAATCGAGTTTCATAAAATCCAACGGCTCCATGGTATCCTAAATTACTAATTCTATATATATACATAGCTCAACGACTCAAAAATTGGACTTCGCGGCTTGATTTTCACTAAACTCCAAAATTATGCTTTAATTTCGAAAAATACTCTGATTGAACGAACGAGAAGCTTGAATACTTATCCGGCGTTACTATACGAAGTTGCATCAGCTTGCGGAGGTCCACGAGGCATTTACGCGCAAGCTGTTTCCTTCCTCTCCCCTTTCCCTCTCCTCCTTTTTTTTCTTCTTTTCCTCTCTTTCCTTTCGTTTTCTCGGTCGCCGGAACTCTCGGCCCCTTTTAATCTGAAGATGTCTACTGTTTGCTTTTTTGTTGACTTTTCAACCCCTCTTCTTTTTTTTTTCTTTCTTTTCTTAAAAGTCCAAATATTACGCTATAAACAGACATACATGTCAGAATCAAATCTCAAAAGACAATGTGCTAAATATTGTTTGAGTTCTTGAAGACGATGCAGATGACAGCGGCCAAGATCAAATGTTGGGGCCATAGTTAGATTGTTACTCACTCCTCAGAAAGCCACGATTGAGGGGACAACATTCGATAAATTTCGTGGCGAATACTCTGCATTATTATTTTATTCATCCCACTCGACTTCATGCTCACCGCACTAGCCCCAGTGCTGCACTAAGGACATTCGCTCGCAAAAAATAACATAAAACAAGTAAAGTTGAATTGCATTGCACAGGGAGAGGAAGCAATCATGCGGTAAACTAACAGATAAACGCATATTTAAATCAAAAGCAGAGCTCCAAAGTAAATTCGCTGACTATTTCAACCTGCAAGAGCAAGTCCCCACCAAGAAGAGAGTGTGTGCAGACGTTCTCACGATACATATGGACTAATCGCATTAAACCAGGTTGACAACGCCATCAATGGTTGTGGTTCTTGACCACTGTCTTCATTTTCTTCATCATCATGATATCAGCATCGTCTTCTTCTTCTTCTTCTTCTATCTCATTGTCCTTTTTGGTTTTTCCCTTTTGCCGGCCCATAAAAACTAAAATAGTAGTCTGAGGACCCCCTCCATCTGCAAAGAATTCAACCCTGTAATTCTTGTGGGGAAGAAAAAAAAAAAGAAGGGAACTTCGGGGTGTTCTTCTCTGTTCTCACATGCTCGCGTAAGCCCAAGTCAGAAGATGGCTCTCTTTCTCCTGCTTCAAGTATTCCCTTCCTAATTATAAAGAAACAAAAGAAATTGTCCAGCGCAGAGCCAGGTGAGTACTCTTTCTTGTGATTAACAAGCTTTCTTTCTTTTTTTGGCTGCTCTCTCGTGAGTGTTGCTTTTTGTTTGGTATATTGGCATTAGAAAAAGAGTTTGATTTCCCCTTTTCGGACATGAAAGTCAGGGCTCCTTGAGACTTAATGCTTCTCCCTTGCTTTTCTGGAAAATGGAGGGTTTTCGTTTCTCATTGCACTCTCTCAGATTTCAGTGAAGTTGGCTGTCATTCAGAGTGAGTTCAGTGTTCTTTTGGCACTCTCTCAGATGGGTATTTATGGTTTTTCACTTTGTACGTAATTGATAGATTGGAAGAAGTAAGGGACATACTGGCCCTCTTTTGCTGTGCCTGCTGCAAAAGTCAAAAAACAATATGCTTAATGTTCTCTTTGTCTCTCGTACGTTGTTTCTATCCTAGCTTGTATTGGTTCTTTCATCCTAGGTCTAAGGGAGGGAAATTTTTTTTAAAAATCAAGTTGGCAACTTGCCTTGATCAAGATTATATTCCTTCCCACTTTCGGTAGATTTACAAAATTATCGAAAGGCTGTTGATTCATGTTTTCATTGAAGTATTCCTCAGATGAGGTTACTATTTAATCCTAAACCCACTCATATGCTGACCAAAAAAAAAAAAAACCCACTCATATTGATGGGTGCTTGTCTTAGGTTGTTGATCTAGCATCACAATGGATCTGGTTTGGCTTCTCTGCATTTTCGTCCTCTTTTTTGGAGAATTGTCACTAGGACAGTCCAAACCTGATGTAGATGCAGTGAATGTCGGAGCTATTTTCACCTTTTCTACTATCAATGGAAAAGTCGCTCAAATCGCCATGAAGGCTGCAGAGAACGATGTCAATGCAGATCCAACTTTTTTTGGTGGACGCAGACTGTCTATATCCATGCACGATTCCAATTTCAGTGGATTTCTTGGCATCATTGGCGGTATACATTCTCCTGGAAGTTCTTATTCATTCAGAATTGTTTTCATCAGTATAATCTCTTCCCTGTCAATATTAATCTGATGGTTATTTGATTGTTAACTGTAAATAACAGCTTTGCAGTTCATGGAGACGGACACAGTTGCAATAATAGGTCCACAGAATTCAGGAATGGCCCACATTCTCTCGCATCTTGCAAATGAACTACATGTTCCGATGCTGTCGTTCACTGCACTGGACCCCACGCTTTCTCCCCTCCAGTACCCCTACTTCGTTCAAACTGCACCCAGCGATCTGTTCCAGATGATCGCTGTTGCAGATATGATCAGCTATTACGGATGGCGAGAGGTGGTTACAATTTTCTCCGACGATGATCATAGCAGGAATGGCGTCACTGTGTTAGGTGATCAACTTGCGGAGAGACGCTGCAAAATAATATATAAGGCGGCTCTTCCCCCAGATCCAACGGCAACTGAGAATGATGTTATAGATGAATTGAATAAGATAAAACTGATGGAATCCCGAGTTATCGTATTGCATACATTCACAAAGACGGGTCTTTTGGTTTTTGATGTGGCCAAGAGGCTTGGCATGATGGACAGTGGGTATGTCTGGTTCGCAACTTCGTGGTTGTCTAGTGTTCTGGATTCTGATTCATCGCTTTCCTCAAAGGATGCCCACTCTATCCAGGGAGCTCTTGCACTTAGGCTCCACACACCCGACTCTAAGAGGAAAGCAGATTTTTCAGCGAGGTGGAAATCGTTGAGCAATGGTACTATTGGGATGAACCCTTATGGTCTTTATGCCTATGATACGGTATGGATGATTGCTCGTGCAGTTAAAACGTTCCTGGATCAAGGAAACAACATCTCATTCTCTAATGACACGATATTAAAAAACTTAGGGGGAGGAACTCTGAATCTTGAGGCATTGAGCATTTTTGATGGAGGGAAGCAGTTGCTTAACAATGTCCTGCAGACAAATATGAATGGTCTGAGTGGCCCGATCAAATTTAATCCAGACAGATCTCTAGTACATCCTTCTTATGACGTCATTAATGTACTTGAAAACGGGTATAGCCAGATAGGATATTGGTCCAACTACTCCGGGCTTTCCATTGTGCCTCCTGAAGAACTTTATGCCAAACCACCAAACCGTTCTAGTTCGAACCAACATTTGAACAGTGTGATTTGGCCTGGAGGCACCAGTACCAAGCCTCGCGGTTGGGTTTTTCCGAATAATGGGAAGCGACTAAGGATAGGAGTTCCAAGGAGAGTTAGTTACCGAGACTTTGTCGAGCAGATCAATGGTACTGACATCGTCCAGGGCTATTGCATAGACGTGTTTCTTGCTGCCAGAAAATTGCTTCCTTATGCAGTTCCATACGAATTTGTCTTGTTTGGAGATGGTCTCAAAAATCCTAGCTACACCGAGCTCGTAAATATGATTGCAGCAGATGTGAGTTGGTTCCAAGGCAGAGGACTACATTTACCATTATAGAGAGTCTACCTTATGTCTGCTGATCACATTTTGTTCTGCAGGTTTTCGATGCTGCTGTGGGAGATATCGCGATTGTCACAAATCGAACAAAGATTGCAGATTTTACTCAGCCTTACATTGAGTCGGGTCTAGTTGTTGTTGCCCCTGTGAGGAAGTTGAATTCTAGTCCTTGGGCCTTCTTGCGTCCATTCACTCCATTGATGTGGGCTGTCACAGGAGTTTTCTTCCTCATTGTAGGAGCAGTCGTGTGGATTCTTGAACACAGAATTAACGATGAGTTCCGGGGATCTCCCAGGAAACAGGTCATGACAATTCTATGGTGAGCATTGGGTGAATGGAAATGCCATGGACTGTTCTACTTTACAAGATGAAAACTGCTAGTAAATCTCTAGTTTTCATTCTCTTCTACGGAGTTTGTACGCTTTGCCAGTATTTTAGGCTCTACTTTGAGGATTATCCTACGTTGATCGTTTAGGGCCAAATCTTCATTCAATGCGTAGCCTCATCAGCTTTGCATTAGGTCATATTAATTACTGCTCATGGTGCTCCCTGCAACTTCTGATCTGCGCTACTTTCTCTTCTTACAGGTTCAGCTTTTCTACTATGTTCTTTGCCCACAGTAAGTCTTACTTTGATGCATGATAATTTAACTGAAATTTTTTTTAAAGCGACTTTAGCATATTGTGACTCTAAATGTGTTCAAATCTTCAGGAGAAAACACCATAAGCACACTTGGTCGCATAGTGCTGATCATCTGGCTTTTCGTGGTTTTGATAATTAACTCAAGTTATACAGCGAGTCTTACATCAATCCTGACCGTTCAACAGCTATCCTCACCGATCAGAGGAATAGATTCGTTAATAATCAGCAATTCCCCGATCGGCTTCCAAGTGGGGTCTTTTGCAGAGAACTATATGGTTGAGGAGCTGAGCATTCCAAAATCAAGACTTATTGCGCTTGGCTCACCAGAGGAATATGCATCAGCCCTCGAGTCTGGAAGAGTTGTTGCTGTGGTTGACGAACAACCATACATAGACCTCTTCCTTTCAAATCACTGCCAGTTCTCAATCAGGGGCCAAGAGTTCACCAAAAGTGGGTGGGGCTTCGTGAGTATCTCGAGACCATATTCATCAGCTTTTAACATATAACGCATTTAGAAGTTACAACTCTTAATCCGAAGGAGTTGATCATCACTAATATACGATACGTTCTTCTATGAAAGAAAGCGAGGGAAATCTAACTTCAATATAACGTCATGTTTCCGATTCTATGCTCAGTTGTGCATCCTGTGCCGAAAAAGGGATGACAGATTGACACAGGACGACCGTTCCTCGATAACTTAGTATATCCCTTGTTATGTTGTGATATATTCTCCAACACCAGTTTACTTTTAATCATTCTTCTGCAGGCATTCCCTAGAGACTCCCCTCTAGCCATCGACATGTCCACTGCCTTGCTCGCTCTATCAGAGAATGGTGAGCTCCAGAAGATCCATAAGCGGTGGCTGTCCAAAAAGGCCTGCGGTTCCCAGAACTCGGGATCTGACCAGCTTCATCTCCAGAGCTTCTGGGGCCTGTTCCTTATATGCGGGGTTTCATGCTTTGTAGCTGCTCTCCTGTACCTCTTCTTCATCCTGCGCAAGTTCAAACGGCATTCTCATCAAGCACCCGAGCCATCCACTCATGGAAGCTCTCGTTCCGCGCGCCTTCAGAATTTTATGTCGTTCGTGGATATGAAGGAGGATAAGTCCCGGAGCAAGTCGAAGAGAAAGCGAAACAACCACCTTATAAATGGATACGGGGAACCTAAGTCGATCGATGGGTCCGATATACTGGAACTGGACGTCTTGGGGCAACGTTGAACAGGGGATTTACTGGCCTTACGAGTTTCTATAGCTAATAACAGCTTGGTTGCTTATTTTCAATCTATGATCTAGAAAGAACCGAGAATTCTCCGAGTGTTGAGTTTCACTTCATGCCCTGAAGAACAGTACCCAATGGCGGTCCTTACAGTAGGCGACCAGTTTGTTGTGCAGCATTTTTATCGAAGATATCGTTTTTCTTTTCTGTTCCGTTCCGAAACGCCATTCCATTGGATTGGGCATTACAGAAGGCGAGCAGTCTGTCGCTGAACGCCAAGCCAGTCGAACGGGCTTTACTTTAGAAGTCCACAGCAGCCGTCGCTGCGGGAGTTAGGAGCAGCTAATGCCTGTGCTGCTGATGCAGAAGTAGAAGAAGAAGAAGCAGTGCATGCGCGCTATAGGCAGTGAGGGGGAAATGCTTTGTACGTCTTTTCCTTTGCCGGAAAAGACTTACAAAGCATAAGTCTTTTCCACAATACAAAAGGGCCTGTTTTTAGAGAAACACTGACTTGAAAGTTCATTGCAATCCGACAGTGGATGAATGCAAAACGATGTTAGTTTGTGCGCATGTTCATTTTTGTGATTTCAATCAACGTTTTGCTCATAAAAGTAAGAAACTTTATACAAGAAAAGATGAGCAAAGCGTGAAATATGACGTCATCCATGCTTATAAGGTTTGGTAGACAAGAAGAAGCACACAGACGCACTGCAGACTCTCTGCGCTCTTGCAACCCCACCAACGCCGCCGCCGCCGCCGCTGCCGACCGCCCCTTCCGGCGAAAAGTCTCGGCAGAACGACCATGGCCATCTGCAACCAATCTCCCTTCAAACCCATCACCACGCTCTGTCTCCCCAAACCCCACCAGCCCCGCAAGACCCGACCTTTCCTCGTCAAATGCTCCAAGACCCAGCTCCTGTCCACCGACCCGGAGCCCGTCTTCACCTCCGTCCGCTCCTTCGCGCCGGCCACCGTCGCTAACCTCGGCCCCGGCTTCGACTTCCTCGGCTGCGCCGTCGACGGCCTCGGCGACCACGTGTCCGCGCGCGTCGACCCCGGCGTCCACCCGGGCGAGGTCTCCATCTCCGAGATCTCCGGCGACAACGCCGGGAAGCTCAGCAAGAACCCCCTCTGGAACTGCGCCGGGATCGCCGCCATTGAGGTCATGCGGCGGCTCGGGGTCCGGTCCGTCGGCCTCTCGCTGTCCCTCGAGAAGGGCCTGCCTTTGGGGAGCGGGCTGGGGTCCAGCGCTGCGAGCGCCGCCGCGGCCGCCGTCGCCGTCAACGAGATCTTCGGGGCGAGGCTGAGTACGGAGGAGTTGGTGCTCGCCGGGCTGAAATCGGAGGAGAAGGTCTCCGGCTACCACGCCGACAACGTGGGGCCGGCGATCATGGGCGGGTTCGTGCTTATCAGGAGCTACGAGCCCTTAGAATTGCTCTCGCTTAAGTTCCCAGCCGAAAAGGAGCTCTTTTTCGTGCTGGCTAGCCCAGATTTCGAAGCTCCGACGAAGAAGATGCGGGCGGCCCTCCCGGCGGAAATCGGGATGCCGCATCACGTGTGGAACAGCAGCCAGGCGGGGGCGCTGGTGGCGGCGGTGCTGCAGGGGGACGTGGAGGGGCTCGGAAGGGCGCTGTCGTCAGACAAGATCGTTGAGCCGAGGAGGGCGCCGCTGATCCCGGGGATGGAGGCGGTGAAGAGGGCCGCGATCGAGGGCGGGGCGTTTGGGTGCACGATCAGCGGGGCGGGGCCGACTGCAGTGGCGGTCACGGATGATGAGGCGAGGGGTCGGGCCATCGGGGAGCGGATGGTGGAGGCCTTCATGGTGGAAGGGAAGCTGAGGGCGGAGGCTGTGGTGAGGAGGCTGGACAGGGTTGGTGCTAGGCTTGTCAGCAGCATTCCACGATGATAGCTCTTGCTGATTCTTGCTACTTAGGCTTGTGATATTGGTGCTCGGAGTGATTTTGTTCATGAGGGATTGTGGGTTGAAATTTTGGTTGACAATTACAATTTGAGTCTGAGTGCAATCAGTGCTCAGAATGCAGATTTGTCGTCTATGAATGAGTGGTCTTTTGTTGCAAGCACTTGATATGATCTCGGAGATGCTTCTTCACCGTCTAATGTAGTGCCTGTGCCTGCTAAAAATTCTCTCCATCTGTGTGGGGGTTACAAAGAAAATGAGAGAGAGCAACAAATATAATGGTCATAAAATCTGGGTTATCTTTCTCATGCAGCAATAATATAATGGTCATAAAATCTGGGTTATCTTTCTCATGCAGCAATTTGGCTAGGATGGAACAAACTTTTCCTGCTAGTTCAGTGATCAAAAAGCTTAAAGTCCAGATTTGTTGTTGGTTCAGAGAAAGACTGGGATTTGTTTGTTGTAGTTGCAGTACCAGTATTGTCGAAAAGAGGGGACAAAAATGGCTCTTACTCTTTCATCGTACATATGCACTCTGTACTGGTAGTATTCTTTATATTGCTCCGCAGGCACCGATGCCTAGTGCTGCTGAATTGCTGATGATGATGATCTCGGCTCGCGGACTTGGCGGGTTCATTCTTGTTTCTGCTATTCACGAGTTCGTAAATCAAATCGTGTTTCCTTCAACTTGCATATCTGACAGAGCATGATGTCCAATACACAATGTTCAGCAAAACTTAAATAAATCAGCCAAAACCAATGCTAAGCCCGGGTTCAAGAACATCACTTAATTACAACCCAGACAAATAGCAGTTGCTATGAACAACAAAACAGCAAGAAATAAAACATCGATACAAAACCTGTAATCCCAATTGCAGTGGCTGGATCACTCGTTCTTAACAGCAAAATTCTGCTTCGTGCCAACACAGAAGAACTCTGGGATCACTTCAAGGGGCATGATCTTGGTTTCGGGGACTTTCAAGAAAACAAAGGCCCACGATAAGAAACAAACCCCTGTGAACATGCCAAAAATGCTTGCCAGGCCCGCCGATCTGAGCATCACCGGCAATGAGTAGGTGACAATAACATTGGCCATCCAAAACCCGAGGCCACATATGGCGACACAGAGACCGCGCATCCTGGTGGGGAAGATTTCTGCGCAGAGCACGTTAGGGGCTGGACCGAATCCCATAACAAAGAAACAGATGTAGAGGACGACACCGATGGTAGAGATCACTGCATGAACAGCAGAGCCTGCATTTACCACATTGCTGAGCACTACGATGACTAGTGATACTATCAGCATGGGGATCGTACCCAGGAGCAAGCTCCTGCCATTGAGGAAGAACCAAAAGTAATTAGAAGCAATAGAAGGTGATACAAATTGAAAACACACAGCCATTTGTGCAGTGAAATCACCACAAAAGGACATGAGAAAAGAGAAAGAGAAGAATATTTTTTAGACTACCATACAGATTTTCATTTCAAACTTATTTCAAGCAAATATAAAAGAATCCTTGCAACTTTCGCAATACAAAATACTGTCTGCCAACAGCAGTACCCACAAGATTGAATTAATGTTACAAAGAACTTTAATATGGCAAAACTTTTTAAGTTTGATAAATGTACCTTCTGCCATATACATCCATGAGCTTCATAGCAACAGCAATGGAGGGTAGCATCAGCAAAGTCGTGATGGCACTAAGGAGTAGAGATACTGACTCTGAGCTAATGCGCAATTCTGAAAGAAGAGCTACAACACCAGCCTGCTTAAGAATTTGGGGAGTGTAGTATAGAACGCCATTTATTCCAGAGAACTGCATTCAGAATCTACATCAGCTAAACTCTGAGCTTGTTAGTGTGTCCACGTGCAAGCATGTCTCAGTGTGTGCGCTTATTTCGGGAAGGGAGAGAGAAAATTCAACCCGACAACCTCTGTTATTCAGCATCTTATGCTGCCGTAGGCAGAGTTACACAGGAACGAATCAAATCCAGATGCTTAAAATGAAATTTGGGTCTAAAATCCTGTGAACTTGTCAACAGCATGAACATATCGACATGGTAGCCAGCCACCGCATCACGCCTTCAATAACCTAGATTGCAACAACTCACTACTCAAGCTCGAAATAGAAAGCAGCCCAAACTTTTTACCTGCTGAAGTATTTGAATTCCTACGCCAACGAACAAAGCGTGCTTAACTCCTGGCTCAAATAGGTCCCTCCACCATAGTCCCCTCATTGCAATTTCTGATGGATGAAGCATAGCCGGACCCAATGGACGGTGTGGCAGCAGCTCTTCAGTGAAGAGAGCCGGTCGGCCAACCAAGCCAACTGCCTGGACTAGGCCCCCATCTGCAGGCTGGTCCATGCCAGGAAGAGAAGCAATAGACGCCCGCGAGCCCACGACACCCCATTCACGCAAATAAATCCTCTGAAATCCTTCCTTCTTTCCACTTTGGTCCTCTCTCTTGGGCCATTTCCATGCTAACTGCCACTCGGGGCCAATGTCCACACTCTCTTCCGGTCCTCCAGTTCCTTGCATCAAACTACCCTGTCCGATGCTAATAGCGCTGCCTTGACCCAGTGGGATCCATTCCTGCTCAGTACTTGTTGCCTGACGCGAAATCAATGGGCTCTGTAAATTATCATTGGAATCGCCACTTGCAGCATCAGATGGGTACTCGTCACCCTCCAAGCCAATAATCTCCTCCTCATCATCTCCATTCGCCTGCTGCTGCCCTCCCACACTGAACAGGCTTCCCAAGTGCGGAAATAGTGTGCTTCGCATGCTTGCCATCTCCATTAGTTTCTCATGGACCCTACCAAAGAGGTTAACGAGGGGATCCACAAAACGCACGGTTTGACTTCCCTGCAAAGATGCTAGGGTGAGGGTGTTTTGACCAGTGACTGGTCTGGCAACCCATGAGATACGTTTCTCTGGTTTATATATCATGATTTGATCTTCCTCACTAGACAAATCTGGGTCATCATTAAGATCATTGGCGGTTATAATTAAGTATTCCTCTATGCGTCACGTCCAACCCCTATTCCTTCCATCAACAGAGCCATCTCACCTGTTAACAGGAAGATGCAGGACATAACACAATGTTGGACACGTGTACAGCAATGGCGTTAGTTTGAGCAAATTAGGGAAAGATAGCCATTCCTATAGCAGCTGATGCAAGAAATTCGATTCGAGCGGGCGCCAGAGGAATCTGGTGGGTTTTCCAGAGAGGGCTACATAATTTCTAGAAACTTAACGTCTGTAACAGCAAATTGTGCTATCCTACTTTCACTTTCATTGATCATCTTTCTTCATGTCTCTGAACCTCAATGCTACACTTAAAAAAGAAATCATGTATTGGTGATAGCAAAGTTTAATTCATAATCTATCAAGAAACCTTAGTAACATGAACTGAATGAACACTTCATGTTGCCGTTAAAAGTACCCAATTACCATCTGTCACCATAACTTGGTATCCATCGATTTTTTGCGGATCAGATAGTTTCTGTTTGGGGATATTTAGACAGATGCGCACGCATGCGCGCGCCCTACATCCACATTGCCTCCTTGTGAAAAGATTATACTGAAAACTTTATAAGGTCCTACACACCCCAGATCAGTTTGTGTCGAAAAATAATGATTACCATGAGGAAAGAAAAGACTAACCAGAAACATCTTCTGCACCGCGTATCATCTGTAAAACTTTCTTGGCCTCAAGCACTCGCCCTTTCCTCACAAGCCACCGTGGAGACTCAGGCAACAAAAGAATTGCCAACACAACATAAACAAAGGATGGAATGGAAAGAACTCCAAGCATCAATCTCCAACTTGGTGAATGCATCTGTTAAACATAATATGTAATTTAGGTTTACTGTTCATTCATTTAGGTTTACTGTTCATTCTTTCCCTATATAAAGGGACTTGGCCTTGTAGTTCAATGCAAGTAATATATACAAATTTCACTCATCTCAACTTGGTATCAGAGCGAATGAGATCAAAAGGAGCATGAGACACAGAATCACTAGTCTGAAACGGTAAAGCATGATGTTTTCCCAACTTACAAGGCAGGCAGTCAAAATGTTTAGTGTCAAAGAACCTAAATGACCACTCGAAATTAAAGAGCTTAACCTAGAAAAGGAAGCATGACCTAACCTAGAATGCCAAGTTTCAGAGGACACTGTGGCAAAGACAAGCGCAAAAGGGGTCGGAATATTTAGGGAAACAAGCTCAAAGAGACGCCCACTTTACGGCTGTCCCAAGTGTCTGTCCCGTCCGAGGATCCTGCACACGACAACCATGAGAAGAGAAGTGAATATCAAGACCAAGTTCACACAATTGGCCGACGAGATCAAGTTAAGTGAGAGTTTAGGAACAAGGAATGTGTTAGTTAAAGATAATGTAGATGTGGAAATGTTTCCTGTATGACTAACTCTCATATGTGAATTATCGGCAGTAAGAATATGAGGTGCATGTAAAGCGGAGGATTTAGACTGAAATAAGGCAGAATTTGATGTCATGTGATTGCAACAAGCGGAATCAAAGAACCAAGAATCGAAATACACGGAGTAGTAGACATAGTAGAGGTGCTAGGAATAGGAGGAGTAAAGGTACCGATTCTCGGAGAATAGTGCGAAGATCCTCTAGAGACACTAGTGTGGGACGATCCATGGGAAGAAGCTTCACGGTGGTAGCATTGGCGGATGGACCGACGGAGGGACCTCGTGAGGGACCTCGGCTACGAGGCTGAGTGGTCGATCCTGTGGATTGCATAGGTCGTAGCCGATAACAATTTGATGCCATATGACCATATCGGCGACAATGTTTGCAAAATGGACGGCGCATGGAGGAAGAACTCGAAGCGGCAAACGCATCCGTGGGCATGGATATAGGCACAAGCAGACGTTGCGTTTTCAAGGTAGCTAGCCGAGTCTCCTCATTCAAGTAAATCGATACAACTGTCTCAATAGAGGGAAAGGGATCTCTATGTAGAATGGAAGCTCTCACAGGTTCAAACTCATCATTTAGAGCCATCAAAAATTGCATGACACGAATACGATCACGATGTTCAGCAACTTTGCGAATGTTACTATCCCCTTCCAAGCGTGGTTCACACAAGGTCAACTGATCCCAAATAGCATGCATAGATGATAGAAAATC